TATATATATATTTATATTTGAAGGGTTAAAGGAAATAATATTGAAATGAACTTTACCCCTCGCTCACCATAAAAAATGTTCATTTCCATGGTGCTCATGTGCCTCTTCCTGGTAGCTTCCCTTCACCTCCACCATCACGTCTGCCCTCCTCTCTCTCCCTTCTTCCCCTTCACCCCACTGTCTTCTCCCATGTTGTATTCGATAGCAGAATTCCACATTTTCATAAAGCTGTGGTGTGAAAGGCAGTAGAGGTAGAAGAGCTGTGCTTTTTAGATTCAGAACTGAATTTGAATTCTTCTGCCATTTTCTAGTTGCATGACATCAGCTGATTTACATATGCTTCTGCGTCCTCATCAGTAACAGAGGAATTGGGGCACCTGGGTGGCTCAGTTGGTTAAGCGTCCGGCTCTTGATCTCAGCAGCTCAGGTCTTGATCTCAGGGTCATGGGTTCCAGCCCTACACTGGACTCTGTGCTAGGCATGGAGCCTCCTTTAAAAAAAAATAAGTAACAGAGGAATAATAAACAATACTGATAATTGAGTATCACAGAAATCCATCACACGTAAAAGAAAGGCTGGGACCACAGCAGAAATTTGACTGTTTTTCCTTCTTATGTTTGTATAAACTCATCAGCTAAGTCAAGGCAGATAAGTAACACACAAATAAGTGGGGTGCCCTGTCTAGTTTTTTAAATGTTTGAGTTCTTTTAAGAGCTGTTCATCTCATTTTTAAAGCCTACTATGCTATGCTAAAACAAAAGAACATTGTTTTTCTCTGCATCTCATTTCCTTCTGAAATCATAGCTGTACCCTTCCTACCCTGCCTCACTCACTCACTCACTCACTCATTCATTCAGCAACCATGTTGTGAGTGCTTATTCAGGATACTGTGAATTCACAGGGGAGATAGGCACAAACTGGTCCTTTTAAAGCAACATGATAGGTGGAGTGATAGAAATATGTATGAGCAGGAAATGGTTGATTAAGGGTTAGGGAGGGATATCTTGCTGTATTTTGTTTTCACCAGTAATACTTAAAAGCTGAAAAAAAATTAAAACTCTTCTACTTTAATAGTTTTGCTCTATTAGTATAAGATTACTGCAATTGTGATGTCCAGGGCTGTTAGGTGGTTTTGTTCGGGATATTTCTCTCTTACTGGTGAGCTGTTAGGGGAGAAGATAAGGAAAAGGAAATGTAATGTTTCAGCTTGTGGAAAACTCTCTTTTTAAATTCAACACAGACTTCTTTCGCTGGGGAAAAACCTACTCTTGGTGCCGTGTTCCAGCAGAATCCCTTGGTGTTGGAGCCAGTGCCTGTGGCTGGGGAAGCCGCTTCCAAGCCAGCCAGTAGCATGAAGCCTGCTTGTCCAGCCAGCACCTCTCCCTTAAACTGGCTGGCGGACCTGACCAGTGGAAATGTCAACAAGGAAAACAAGGGTGAGGGTTTCCTGCTTTCCTGTGGGTTCCTGAGAACTTGAGTCCATTCTCGGAGGGGATTGGCAGCCTCAGTTGCTGTGAGGACAGTGTGATTAGAAGTGTGTGGAATGGAAAGGAGTGGTTCCCTGTAGTCACCAGGGAGACCTGACCGAAATTCAAGTATTTTTAAAATGCAGCCCCAAGGGGCACTTGGGTGGCTCTGTTGGTTAAGCATCCAACTCTTAACTTCAGCTCACTTCTTGATCTCAGGGTTGTGAGTTCAAGCCCCGTCTTGGACTCCACACTGAGTGTGGAGCCTACGTTAAAAAAAAAGAAAAGAAAAGAAAAGAAAAATGCAGTCCCAAAAGGGAGAACTTCTGCTGACAGTAGGACTCTAGGCTGAGACTTGTTTGTTTTAATAAATGATTTCTACTTTTCTGTCCTTACCCTGTTGTTCCTGTTTTGTCTAATTGGAATGTTCTGGCTTCAGTTTTATTTTTCTCATTTGTGCTGTTGTCTTAGGATACTGATGACAGTATAAAGAATACAGGCTTTAGAGTCAGGTAGTTAAATTAGAATTTATGTGATTCTGCTTTTTTAGCTATGTTATAAGAAAGAAAAATTGGAGGTTAATTTCTTTCATGCAAAGATCCTAAACAAAGTTTCAGTACTCTAGATAAAGGAATTCTACAGTATGACCAAGCAGGGCTTCAGAAGAAAAGTCATGTGCCAAGACACAGAAAGTAGTAAAATTCAATACCTGTTCACGATTTAAAAAAAAAAAAAACTTTTAAATTAGGAACAAAAGGGAACATCCTCAGTCTAATGAGTTTCTACAATAAAACTGACAGCAAACATCATAATGATTGATTTTTTTTTTAATTGGTTGAGTATTTTTAACAGTGTGCCTCTATTCAGCAATAAGAGGATACCTGCCATCACTATTTTATTAAACATTGTACTGGAAGTCCTGGCTATTGCAGTAAGGCAAACAAAAAAAGATGTTAGGATTGGAAAGAAAGTGATAAAGCTGTTGATATTTTAGACAATCTGATTATACCTGTGAAAAATCTAAAATATCTGTATTTAATAAACACAGATCTGTCAGGTTTGCTAGTTACAATGTTAATTTATAAAAATTTTATATACCAGGAGCAAACAAATAGAAAATGGAAGTTTAAAAAATACCATTTGCACCATATGATTTCATGCATGTGGAATCTAAAAAAACAAATGAATAAAAAAATCAGACCTATGATTGCCAAAGGGGGGTGTGGGGTGGAGGGGTGGGTGAAGGGGAGTGGGAGATGCTTCCAGTTATGGAATGAAGGTGACAGGGAATAAAAGGCACAGCAATAGGGATTACAGTCCATGGTCTTGTAACAGTGTCCTATGGTGACAGATGGGAGCTACACTTGAGTGAGCACAGTATAACAGAGAAGTTGAATCACAATGTTGTACACCTGAAACTAAAGGAACATTGTCAGCTATACTGGGGGGAAAAAAATTAAAACAAAAAAAACAATATCACCTTGAATGTTGGGTACTTACTGTTTTAATACCAGTGGAAAATCCTTGTCTAAATCAGTGATTTCATTAGGATTTATCCTCTTAAGTTTTTTGGTTCTGAAGTAAATGAAAACCAAGTTCCAAAGTAATTCTACTAATAGAAGACAAGTAAGGGATTTGCCTTTCAGAATGCTTTTCCATCTGGATGTTTTTGGTTTTGTTTCTAGAAAAACAACCGACGATGCCAATTCTAAAGAATGAAATCAAATGCCTTCCACCCCTCCCCCCTTTGAGCAAATCCAGCACAGTCCTCCACACCTTTAACAGCACAATTTTAACACCTGTAAGCAACAACAATTCTGGTTTCCTCCGAAATCTCTTGAATTCCTCTACAGGAAAGGTATACATTTGCCTTATTGTTTGTATTCCGTCTTGTAAAAATGAATAGAGTCAGAACAGGAAGAGACTAGAGAAATTGAAACAGACAGTAGAAAGAAGATATGAATCTTAGGCTTTCCACCTAGGTGCAGAAGTTTTCATTGGCAGGTGGGCTTCACAGGGTTATAGTACCGAACTGGGCCATTTTTTCGTTAAACTTTTTCTGTACCTACTTCTGTGAGTTGTAATGTCAAGTGGGGGAAGGGAATTTACCTATTTGTCTTAGGGCCCTGACTTGGACTCTTCTGGATATTTGATCTTTATCCTAGCATTATAGGAATGGGTTTTTTTGATGGTAGGCAATGACCTATTTAAAGACTTGTGTTCTTTCTCAAATTCAGACAGAAAATGGACTGAAGAATACACCAAAAATCCTTGATGACATCTTTGCCTCTTTGGTGCAAAATAAAACTTCCTCTGATTTATCTAAGAGGCCTCAAGGACTGACAATTAAGCCCAGCATTCTGGGCTTTGACACTCCTCACTATTGGCTGTGTGATAATCGCTTGCTCTGCCTCCAGGATCCCAACAACAAGAGCAACTGGAATGTGTTTAGGGAGTGCTGGAAACAAGGGCAGGTAAGAGGGGCCTCTGCTCCCCCAATCCAGTTCAGAGCCCCTTTCTCAGTTCTTTTAGTAGGCTTCTGACAGTCCTGCCCCCCACCCCACCACCCTTCATTTGTAAGTGGTATATACCTTATTTGCTCTTTTTGTACTTTATCGTTTAGGGTGAATATAATTAAGGCACTGTAGCTCTGAGTTATTTTTTACAGCAGACATTCCTGAGCTCTCTTCCAGTGAGGTTTTGACTGCTTCTAAACCAGTCATCTTTGGGTTTTTGATGAATGCTTTCTGGGCTATGTGATTCTTGGGTGATAAACCTCAACAGGAGGAGTGCGAGCAAGACTAAGAGGCTGATGGGGCTTGGGGGATTAGACAGAATACAATCAAAATCACGTGTCCCTCTTCCCTGAATTAAAACGCTTATGCTGAAGGCAATTTTAGGTGTGCCAGAGCCATGTGGTGTCCTCTTGGAGCTGGTGTGTGGTCTCCCAGGGGCCTGCATTGTTCCAGCTTACATTTTGGTTGATGGTTTGGGAGATGCATGGCTTTGTGGACCTGCTCCTCTGCTTTCTTGTTTTGGTTTTTGTATTCTGGATCTTTGGCTTCTCTTTGGAGCCAAATGGAGTCCTCACTAAAGGGACACTATGTTCTTGGACAAGGCCAGGACTTGGGGAATTGCCAAATAGAGAAATGTATTTAACCAAAAAAAAGTTCCTGCCTTTTTTTTCAGCCCTGTATAACTAACTAATAAGATTTGCTCATGATGACAACGACAGGCTGAGTATAATCCACCAGCCAAGTTTTGTTTGGATTCCATAATGTTTAAAAAAATTGAACTTCTCAATATTTTAGTTAGGCTGTTGCACATAAAGATTGGGATGCTTGGCTTGGCAACCGCAGGTCCATGTTCCTGCCTGGCAGCAACAGGCTGGAGACCAATGGCAGCACCCCTTTTGGACAGGACACTCCTACCACCTTTGTCTCTCCTTTACATTCCCTGCCTGGTCCTGAGACTTGCTGTTGGTCTTCTGTGAGTAATGGCCTCTGAGTCATAAGATGGGATCCTTGCTTCTGGAAGCTTACTAATGTAGTTTGAGAGCAAGGAGCACATGAAAACAAGAAGTGGTATGGCAGCTCAGAGCACTAAGCTGTCACCTCGGGATCTGCCACTGAGGACCAGCCACAGAGAAACAAACAAGCAGCAGTTTGAAAAGGGGCTGCCACTGGTTTGGGGACAGACCTGGAGGAGGTCAAACTAAAGTCTTCATTCTCTTTTAGCCAGTGATGGTGTCAGGAGTGCATCATAAATTGAACACTGACCTTTGGAAACCTGAATCCTTCAGGAAAGAGTTTGGAAATCAGGAAGTCGACCTAGTTAACTGTAGGACCAATGAAATCATCACAGGAGCCACAGTAGGAGACTTCTGGGATGGATTTGAAGATGTTCCAAGTATGTATTAAAGCCCTTTTAAGGGAGTTAGAATGTGGAAGGAGGGCACAGGAGTAGCAGGAGTCTGAAGCCCCTCAGTGGCAACAACAGCATTGTCCGTGATCTTGGAGTTTAAAATTCGTGTCTTATCTCTTCTTCCCCTTTCTTTTTAAAAGTTATGCTTTCAAACCAAGGCAACATTCACTTTGTAGTTCCTTAGAGAGGTGAGGTTTTGGTCATCTGTACTCCAGGTGGCTCCACTTCTATCCCATGACAGAAATTCTGTGCTTTCACTTATGCCCAGGGGGAGGGGAGCACAAAGCCGGGGCCTGTGACTCAAGGCTGGTGGTTTTATGTGTGTCTCACCCTCATACATCCTTTTTGCTTTTAAAAATTTTAACTACTGTTTAACAAGATAAGTAGACCTGAAGATGCCAGGGAATGTGAATGCATTTAACACGGGGTATCCTGGTCACTGCCTACTGCATCTGGGCTAGGGGCCGTTGAGGCAGTAAGAAGGTTTGTGTGTCTAGTGCTGAGGCTTGGCCCTTTCTGTGTATTGGCCAGTCAGTAAATTGTTTCCAGGAACATCGAGTTCATGATGGGCCCTGGGGATTCACATCAGCACAGGCCCCCATCCCCACTGGAGGGTTTGGCCAGTTCATTCATCAGACTCTCCGTAATTCAGATTCACTCATTCATCACTCTCATTTTTTTAGACACACACCTTTTAATCTATTGCTTTCTTATTCCATTTTACCCACATTTATAGATTATAGCTCATACTTTCAACAAACTATAACAAAGTTGTAGCTGACTTTTTTTTTTTTTTTTTTTT